TGTCTGAATAAAGTCAATTAGTCCAGGACAATAAAACCTATTACAAACTACATAGAATAGCTGCAAATAACCACCAATACTTCAAGAGTTTAGGAACATATGTCACCTTCATACTGAACAACTCGTGCCGGAATTCCAGGATGGGAATCCTCACCCTCCTCCCATCTCATGGTAACCTTGATTTTGTACCACCTACACAACAGCAATAAGAACAGAAGATCAGAACAAAATAACAGCAACAACAACCAGACATTTACATACTACACATAATGTCATATTGTAAAACTAGACTATTGACAAAACCATTTACATCAAACTGATCTAACCAAAGGCAGCAAAACATAAAAAGGGGGGATTACAAAAAATTGGAGCTTACCCTTGTTCAAAAAGGTCAAGATTATGAAACCTATGAATGTAAACAGCAACTTCATGAACAGCATCAAGCACAGGGAGATTCTGATTTGGGCTTACAGGATCAGGTTGTTGTTGGTCAACATTGACCAACATTTTTGGTGACAAATTCCTATGATTCAGACCCATAAGCCATCTCAGTCTGGGAAACATAAGTACTAATACAAACTAATAGCAACTGATACAACAATAACAATCAATCATCACCAACACTTAGCCCCTTCTTCAATTGAACTGAAGCAAAAACCCACAAAAAGGAAGCAACTTTCTCACACCCAATTTATATTCTTTCAATGCAAACCCACCAAACCCATTAAAGCTACACCCCCTTGTACTTGAAAAGTGTTAAACTTTAAGGAATCTAAAATATGGGTATGAATTTCATTACTTGGTGTCTAGGGACCAAGATGGGAAATTAAAAGAAAGAGTGAGAATTGAAGGTTTTAAAAATAAGGATACTATATAATTGGATGGAATCATTATAAACAATTATATACAATTATTTAATTTTCTTTCAACCGATTAAATATAAATGGTAAATAATATAATAATAGTATATATAATTTATATATTCATTAATTTTTTCGTCAACATTTTCGCAGATCGTGGCAATAAATAATGATCGATTTTGCTGATACTTTAACCAAATAAAGTAAACAAGTTCACCCAAAAAAAAGAAAAGGGAAAATTGTTGTGTGTCATTGTGTGCACACCTTAGATAATAAGAGCTGAAAAGTTTTCATATAAAAGCTAAAGCCCATTTAGGATTTAGGATGGTTTTGGGTTTTGAGAATATTTACAAAATTGAGGTATACTACCATAGGTATTGGTGGTACGGGTAATATATTAAAAGATAATAGGTTGATTTTTTTATTTACTTTTAAGATTAAAAAATGTTTCATTTCTCAATACATAAAAAAAGAACATTTATTATATTTACAATAAAGCATTTGTTGACTTTGAAAGTAAATAAAAAAGACATGTCATTCTCTAATAAGTCATCTGTACCACCAACACTTATGGTATTTATCTTTTTATCTATTGGTCAATTATACAAGTATATTTTATTCCATATATATTGAATGGAGAGTAAAGTTAGCTAAATGAATGAAAAATATAAAACATCAATTTTTTTTGTTTTGGTCTTGAGATAATATATTTAAAATGAAAAATTGTTTTTTTTTACTATTTTCAAAATAATTTTTCTTCTATATTTCACAACACTTATATAGTTTCATGATTTTATATTTTTTAGTGTTATCATCTCCATGGTTATAATCATATCAATTATCATTGATAACAAATCGATTACCACAACTATTATCACTTGAACGATTATTTGTTATCATCACCACCCTCTGACTCTCATGATTATCACATATCGATTACTATTTACTAGTATCACTCTACCATCACTCATTTCATGAAAATAATTGTCACACCACACGATTGACCGCCATCTGAATGATTAAAATCATCATCGTTCATATTCCAATGTGATGGTGGTAGAGAAGATGTCACTTTGGTGACGATAAAGGATGTCGGGGGATGGTAACGATGATGAAAAGTGTCATGAGGTGATAACAAATAATAGTAATGGTATTAGATCTATTTATGGTAGTAGAGTGTGTCATTCAATAACAAATGATAATCAGATGATGAGAATAAAGTATTTCCTCATACCAGGAGATAACTTATATTATACAACTAGTAAAAGAATAACATGTGTATTGTTTTGTTTTAAAAATATTTTTTGTAGAAAATGATTAAATAGTAAACATTTCACAATTTTAATGGTTGAATGAGATAATATATCTCTTTATATCAGGGAGATACATTATTCTACTAGATGATATAAAACCGCAATTGTACAACTCTCAATAAATCATCACCCCATGGTCCACATTTAGTTATAAAACAAACTCAAACCTAATGTGTTTTCAAAAAAGTATACAAAGTTAATAGCAACCATGTTGATAAAAACAATAATGTTTTTAAGCTAAATTGATATTTTTCTATTTTCATAAACTGTTTTTTGACAATTTTCCTGAAGTGTTGCATCCTCTTAACAAATAAATGTCAAAATATTGTTAAATATTAGAAAGTGACATTTTTCAGATTTATGCCAATTTCACGTGGATATACAGTGATGTGTCAAAATCTCAAGTTCAGAAGATTTTGAGATAGATTTGCAAGAAAGGTGTAATCATTTTTTGCTTTCTAATGTATTTTTCATTCAATAAATATCGATTGTTTAATATCTATTTATTATTCATATAAAGATATATATCATCTACCATTTATTAATATTATTTTTTATAATACTTAGTGATAATTAAAAATGAATAATAAATGATTAATTAATAGTATATAAAAATCTTATAATGTAAATTCATACATTTTTTTTTTTTGGAGAGATCATTCCTTAATAAGTATTTTTACACAAGTCACATATCAAATCCTAACGTAATGGTTAACGGATTGAAATCACTTGCACTTTATTTTTTATTTATTTTTTATTTTGTGTATATTCCAATTTTATTTTATTTCATCAAAGAAAAGAGAGGACCTTTGAAAATGGTAACATGGGATGTTCGGTCGGCAAAGAAAAGCAAGAAAGGTGGGCCCATTAAGGTGAAAATGTTATCACCAAATTCTTTGAACTTCATATATTATTGACTCTTTAAAAAAATAATACAAAATAAATTAATTATTTATATATAAGTTTTTATAACGAGAGTACACTCAACAAAATTTAGTAGTTATTTATTTTATAAGGATTTGCATTTTGTTTGTGAAAAGTGTTTTTTAGTAGAAATGGAAGTTAGTGGGTTCAAAATCCAAGGCATTAAAATTTTGATTTTATTTAAAAATGCTATGTGGGATACTACTTCTCTACCAGCATTACAACTAGACTAATAACTTGTTGATGAATGATCATTTGTCTTGAAGTTGATCATCATGTTTTATGTGATTTTTATATGTTAAAAAATAGGGAGGGATTGTGGAAAAAACCTACTTCATATCTTATTCATTCATTCTTGGAAAATCTAATGATTTAGATATACTCATTAATTCAAACCATTGGATTGTCTAATAATGAATGGATAAAAAGTGAAATATGTTTTTCCACTTACTATTAGAGTAAGTTCACCATCTCCCTAAAAATAAGAGTGAAAATTTATTAGTATTTATAAAAAAACTATATTTGTACCTCATTACAATCTACATTAAAAATATTTAATATTTCAGAGTTATTCAATATTAAATATTTATATTTGGAAATTCTTGTGAGGAAAAATAGTTTTATTAATTTTTTAACTATAACAAATAAATATTTATAATTTTCCCAAATATATCACTAGAAAAAATAAATATTCATTTTGGAGAGCAAATTATTTATTATGTTGTATGGAGTGAGGATAGTTAAAATGAGTGACACCTGCCCAACTGTTTATGAGTTAATTATAATTTTTGTATATTAATGCATAATTAAAAGTAATAATTATAAAAATAAATTGTTTATATTATTGGGTGAAATATGAATAGTTTGAGAGGTAAAGATAAAAGAAATTGTTAGATGTTATTCTTGTTCTCTGAGTTGGTGGCATTACAGATTTACGGTGTATGGGTGGTTGAATTTAAAAGTTGTAATGAATTTACCATTTAATGCTACTCCTTTTAACTTCATTCAAACTTTGACATACTTTAGAAAAAATCTACCATTATGGGACATGTGTTGTATAAAAGTTGAATATTTCATTTTGAATATTAAATTATAGAAAGTACAAAGTAATAATATCAATTTAAAATATGTCATGTTGTAATTTCCACCTCATCATTAATGTTTTATAATGAAATATGATCCAACTTATTTAATTTTTTTATTGTGATTAGTCTTTAAATATTGATTTTTTTTATTGATCCATATTGTCACTCCATTATTAAGTGTTGATGTGGCTAATTGACCATCACATCAACAATCATATGGTTGATGATGTGAAAATGGAAAATGGACCTAGGCCCAAACTTTGCCCCAAATGTGTTTCTAGATCAAGGGCTTTAAGCCCATAACTTTATAATTAGGTTAAAACAACTTCAATATGTAAACACTTTTTATTTGTGAGGTGGACCTTTCCTAAAATGAAAAACAATCAAATAAAACCAGTCAAAAGAATAAGTTATTTGGTCAAACTACCCATACACCTCAATTAAATTCTTCCAAGGTGTCTAAAAATATTATAAGATACTATATATATATATATATATATATATATATATATATATATATATATATATATATATATATAATATAAGACTTTGATCTAATAGTGTAAGATCACGTTAGATCCTCAGGATGACCAAAATGTTAAAAGTTTTGATTTCCGGGAGCGACACTTATTGGGATGAACAGTCACACACTCGGAAATAAATTAATTTCTTACAAAAAAATGTGAGAAAATACCATTAGTAATATCAAAAAAATTACTCATCGTAATCAATGCTATTTTATTACAGTCTGGAATTTTACTATAATTTTTTTACAGTCTGGAATTGGTACTGTTAAAATAAAACTTATCATCTCTACTCTCAGATATAGAGAAGTTGAGTAAAAGATCATGAATCCTAAGACATCCAAATAGTATGAAACCCTAAGAAAATACCTTCAGTTACTTGTATGAACCCTTCAACTCTCCTTCTTTCTCAACCATTCTCTTTGTGACTTCTACTTGGTAGTAATTCCAGCTATATACACATATAATTTCATACATACGCTATGCCTAACCTATTCCCTGAGCATCTACAAACATCAAACAACCCTATTAAGACAATTCCACATATATTTGTATTGCATTTGAGCGGGTTGTCAACAAGTCGTTGCAGCATGAATGCGGTCCTTCGTCGCATGGGGTACATAAATAGGTCTCCAAGCTGAATCAAGTCAGTATTCACACATCGATACACAGTCATGTTCATATAAAAAACATAAGGAAGAATATAGAGAAATGAACACTAACCCATAGTCCTGTACACTTTGGAGGTGCTTCTCTATTTATTCGCAAGAATGTGATTGTCTAACTAGGCCCCCGAGATGCATATGATCTATTCCTTGATGTCTATTCGACAATGCTAGAGGAGCAGATTCTGCAGTGAACAATACAAGACAATTCACAACTATTTGTGCTTTGGCAAGGAGAACAACTCCTAGCTAGAAGTCTATTCGATATTGCTAGAGGAGCAGATTCTGCAGTGGACAAATACAAGACAAATCACAACTTTTTGTGCTTTGGCAAGGAGAACAACTCCTAGTACTAGCTGGCATGACATGGCATGTTGTAGTGTACACTGTAATTCAAAAGTTGTCCTTCCGCGTCTCTTAGCCGTGGAAGTTGGTCCTATTCTAATTCCAAGGATGCTGAGTTGGACATAACCCATGTATCCCTATAAAGATTGAGATTGTTGACCTAATCAGGAACACTTGTCTCTAGGATGATGAGACATTTGTGTTATGTTGAACTTCCTTGTAACCGGTGCCAAGCTAGTGCGTCCTGCTACATGCTATGCCTGAAAAGAATGCCACACAATGTTATAACTACCCTGGAATCCATTGGAGACAAGGGTTGAAGTTGTGCTCGAGAGTAGATCAGCACTTGTGAAATAAAACTGTTGAAGTTTAGTTTTGCCAAGGGGATTATGGGTGCTTAAAATTGTTATCCTCGTGAAATTTGAGGCATGATCCTTACATGGTGGAGATCATGCACCGATGATAGTAGTAGCAGACTAGCAAGTCACATGGCACACCCAAAGTGGATAGTTTTTTCTTGTCAGTCATGCAAATTCTCATCCATCTTTACAATGGATGACACATGGTAAGATGTTTTTCCCGACCTTTTGCGATAAAAAGGAAGAACATTATTCCTTTCCTATCTTTAATTTTCAAAGGCTTTTATACCTTTTCCTCCACTTTGTCTTCTTCAATGAGATCCACAATTGTGTAAGGCATTTTTCAACGGTGCTTCCTTACAGTTCCCACCTATTTTAAGCATTTCCAACCTTTTTGCAACCTTCTTCATCATTCAAAAAGGTAACCTCTACCTCCTAAAATGGGGTCATGACAGAGGTCAAGAGGGCCTTGCAAAAGGTCTACCTCAGGGATAGTGGATGTACCTGTTAAAAACTAAGATTGATGTTGATCGGTTATAATCGACGAATCCCTATGCATCTATCAGTCTATCACATTTGGTTTTGATGATAAACATCACACTTCATGATTTCATAAACACGTTAGGTTTTACTAACATGTTACTTGAGTGTGCTGACAAGTAAGTTATTCTATAAGACTTGGCATAATTGAAAGTTACAAATGAGACTTAAGAAAAAATCACATGTGTGTCTCAACTAAAGGAATCCAGTGGGTCTTCTGGAGCTCATATGTTATCACCCGAAGAAGACAAAAGTCAAATTTTCAAGAATATGGGTTGAATGATCATATACAGAGAAGATGAATATCAAGACGAAGAAAGATCAAGATTGTGTTTGTCGAAGAACAAGACTGAACTACAAATGGAATTTGTCTTATGGCGAGTGCATTCGAAGTCTAATTACAAAGTGCACTCACCAAAGAAAATCATGGTGATGCAATCACTGAAGAATATATTGAATATCATGCTCAAATTCTTGGATTTAAGATCAAATGTGAAAGAAACCACACAAATGAGTCTACTGAAGAACATATGCAAGTGCAACTAATGAATCGAGGATGATAATATGCTCAAAGGTCAACGCAATCAAACCCTTCACGCACTAATTTCATGTACATCTTTATTCGAGCAAAAGTTCAAAGATAAAGGGTGTTTCTGAAATTCTCAACCTGAAGAAAGGCATCTCTCATTTACACTTGAACAAACTGAGGACAAAGACTAATGGACATCGAATAATCAATCTGGTGGATCAACTCAACAATCCTCAACGATTATATTGCAGACCATGAGGAAAAAATAAGCTAGCTGATCAAGAGTGTTGATTTTGATCAAGGACTAATCTCATATTTAAATATGCTTATCAGAACAGAGTTTCTTGTGCCAAAGTTGAAAGAGGAAAGTGTTCAACATGACCTCAGCAATAGCAAATTGCTATATGTGCTATTATTATCAACTACAATGCTGAATAGCCCTCTGCATCGACTGGAACATCTAATTGAGATTAAAGGCTTTCGTTATATTACAGATAATAATAGCGATAAAAAATCCATGTCATGGCACTGAAAACAAATGCAATGAGTACTTGAAGACTGATTTGAAGCTGTTGTTGTGTTTGCTTCACTAGTTCACTCCAAAGATCAAAATATTAAAGGCTATATAAAAATTACGTGTAGAAGGAAGAAAGAACAATCAAGCATACAGAAAGAGAGATAGGACAATATGCTCACGGCTTAAAAGAAACTCACTGGCTATCATTTTTTTATTCCCTCAATTGTATAGATGACTCATTGTAAAATCCTTTGACCATGCTATAGGAACATCATTGATCCTCAAGGTAAAGACTAAAGAGTGTATCCTGACCTTTAACTCATAAACCATTCATCCTTATTCTGCTGAGTGAATTAGCTTTGAGGGGTTGGGTCCAAAGAATAGCCATTAGCTTGAAGAGGATGGGTTCAAAGACTACTTGTTGAGCACCTCAATTAGGTGTCTCGTGTCTGTAATCTGGTATTATTTATAGTGGAAAACTCCTAGTGAAGCTAGGGACTGAACTTAGCACTGGGTTGGAGTGAACCGGGATAAATATTCACATCTGGTCTTTACTTTCCTGCTGACTCATCTGCCTACTAACTGAATTGATCTAATTGATTATATTCCTAGTTCAACTAGTGCTTAAGGTCTGTTGAGACACTACGCATCTCTTGTGGCAGATTAGCTTCTGCAATTACAATCTGATTATCTAAGGCTCATGAGAAAATTTCAGAGTAGCAAACAATATTCAACCCCCAGTTGTATTGTTTGTTAAATCTCAGTATGTCGGGATATACCGATTCAGGATCAATTCCATTCCAAATCTTATGGCACTTGACCAAATGGAGAGTCCACTGTCCACCCCCTGGCTAACTAGTTTCATAGTCCAACTGGTTGGTCTAATGGCTAACTTGGGGTGCGTATATTGTGTGGTAAGAACATCTTAGTTGTCCAAGATGATCCATCTTATAGTTAGCCTATATCTTAGAGTGTGACTACTCAAACATTGACACCTTTTATAGTTGTCCTAGATGTTTCATTAAGAATAGATGCTTTGAGGTTGCCCCCGAAAAGTTCATCCAACCTCTTGGTGTCTATCGACACCCTTAGATGGATCGATGAGTATTAGGGAGATCACCATAGATCACAAATGTCGGTAATCCTCTAACAGTTGTTCATGAGATGGATAAATTGAAGTGTCATATCATTCTGGCCGAAAAAACTAGTAGATTTGCATAAATAGGTCGACTAGGGATAACAGTTGACCCATCTTTATGTATGAGATGTCATTCTAGTAGATTGGGGCCAGACTACCATGCACATATTTTGAGATGAACATACTGGTTACACCCTATGCTACAAACCAAATAAGCCCTAAACATTGCACCTCTTTATATAATAAAGACATCACTTCCTAATAAAAACGTTTTTTATTCATTTGCATGGGTCATGCATACAGAATAAGAAAAACCATAATTTCTACACAAGTTAGTATGACTAAAGAATCATAAACGGTATCTCCTCTCACGTGTTTTTCACCTAGAGGCGTGTATCTTCCCTTTAAATTCTTTCTAGAGATAACAAAATGACACCAAATATACACATGACAACATCTACAAGCCACTTACAAAAGACCGCTGAGGTATATTAGATTGTTGAAATACCAATTTTACCTTTTGTGTTAGGTCTTATTAGTTAATTGCATTAATTTGGTGCAAATAACGATTTATATTAACATCCAAAATACAAATAATAACAAAAATGTCAATCATTAGATCCATTAAAAATAGTTGATAAAAGGGCAACGGAGTTCTTGTTTAAGTTACTTCAATGAAACCAAATGGCGTATATTGTTTGTAACGAATCAAGACATTCCCATGCAATTTTTTCTCTACAATTCAGAGTAGCACACATGGAAAGTCCCAACCCAGCAAGCTAAACGTTTCAATGCTACTTTACCAACAAAAATGATCATCCCCTCATGAGATAAGAATGACACTGGTATGCAACATAGGCTCATCATCCACTCTTTTCTTTTACTTTTTCTTCCTTTTCCTACTATTCGTCCAGTTTGTGTAAAATAAGACATGGGACTAATCAACTTATACTCATCAGCTTCAGTGTCTGAATGACATTGAGTAGCAGAATATAACAAAGTTAAGTTTCCTAATAAAAAAGTGAAAGAGAGTCATGGCTATTCTAGGCATTCACAACACTTTGGCTTTAACTTTTGGCATAATAGGTAACACTTGAGGTTCATCATCGATCTGTTTTCATGTTATAGTACTTCAATATTCTATTTACTTAGAAGTTCTTCAACCAAATGCACTCATTACCTTATCTTTGTTTCTTCCATTTTCTCTCCCTGTGCATTTGATTTCCTTTTCTACCCTGCACTATACTTCTATTTTAATTATTAGTTATCTCACTTATATTCAAAATCACATTTTCTTAATTACTGAACAGTTTTGAGTTTCAATTCCTCCTATTAAAACTCTCTCTGTTTTGGGCACATTCTTCTATAGTTTTTTTATCCACTGTGTTTTAACTGTTATCTTAATACGATTTAGTTCTGTTAACATATTTTTTGAAACTAACATATCCTCCTGTTGATAATGCCTTAACCTATAGGAAACATCATTTCGTTCCTGGTGTACCTGGCTCCCATGTAAGTAAATACCAACATCTGCACTAAGAGTTACTTCACCTATTAAGGGATACTTCTTAATTTTCATTTGAACAAAAATATAAAACCAATGTTAATGATTAAATTATATACTAAATGTGTTCCGCTATTCTTAAATTGTAGCCCAACATTTATCCGAATTTACAAAAGGAAATCTACTGAAAGTTTCCAGTACTACCTTACTTGGTCGCATTATTCAGCTCCATGCTTTGGTTATACTATGCCTATCTCAAGACAAATGCTATTCTCCTCATTACCATTAACTCCATTGGATGTGTCATCGAAACTATCTACATTAGCATGTACATAATATATGCTCACAAGGACGCCAGGGTATTTAAACTTCTCATTTAATCAAATTCATAAAAAGAAGCATATATACACACATGCATACTAATTTTTTTATTGCAGAGTTTAACCATTAAACTACTTATGACGATAAACATTGGCGTTTTCACCCTGATTTCCCTCATATCTCAATACGCTCTACCTCATTCCTTACGTGTCAAAGTTGTGGGTTGGATTTGTGTATCAGTTTCAGTGAGTTATTAAAACAAAGAGTGTAGAGTTTATGCCCTTCTGGTTATCATTTTTTCTCACACTCAGTGCCATAATGTGGTTTGCTTATGGTGCCTTCCTCAAGGACATATGCATTGCTGTAAGTATATATTAATATTAATATTAATATTGAGTGCTAATTCAGGTGTGTTAAAGTTTATTAACTAAGGATTTTCACTTATTTTAGCAACTAATCATGGATTCTAATAAAAAAAATTATAATTATATTTTTCAATTAGAAGATAAACTTTCAAATGAAATTTTAAGATTTTTGTTGATGTTATAAACTTTATTTATTCATAAAATTAAATATTTACATTTTTTATAATGTTATTAGTAAAAAATGCTTTAATGAAATTAATATCCTTAACTAATAAAACATAAAATTAGTCTTTTAATTAATTAACCATAAAAGTTTAAGCTCTTAAATTATACTTGTTTTCGTTCAGTTTAATACTAAAGCAACTTTATTGAAGGATTTTTCTTTGTATTTCTTTATGTGCAGATCCCGAATGTACTAGGATTCACTCTGGGGCTACTTCAGATGCTGCTATATGCAATTTACAGAAAAGGTGAGGCTAGAAAGAATGATGTTATAGAGGAGAGGGAGAAAACACTAGATCCAATGAGAAAAAATGTTGTAGAGATTCCGCTGAGGACTCATGAAGTGATCCTAATCTCAGCTAATGATCATGTGAATGAACAAGGAACGATCGGTGCAAAAGGCGTAAAAGAGAAGGAAAATAGCATGGAAATCAATGAATGCCCTGTGTAATAATTTATGTATGTTTATGTTAAATGTTGTATTTTGTGGAGTACCTTGCTGAATGCAAGGATGTGGTTCTTCTATTATGGTTTTTAAATGCAATATATTGTCTATCATCCTTGACTTGGATGGTATATGTGACTTTTATAATGTTATCAGGAAAATAAATATTAATGCAATAATTTCCCTCTAAGTCACATGAAACTATGTTCATCTACTTTCACCAAACTTGGTGTCATGGTCGTTATTCATCACCGTCGCAAATAATGGAGTAAATTAGTCAACCAGCAAACTCGATCAACCCAAACGAACCCAATATCATGGTTCGGTTTGGTTTGGGTTATCGGGCAGAAAGAGTAAAACCCAATTAAACCAAATCATTTTGTGTTGGTTCTCGAATCCAAAATTTTAAAACCCTGTCAACCTATGATCTGGTGCTTTTTAGTTGTTATCTTCCAATCCTACCCAAGTTGTATAAGCGCATATCACATAAAATGTATCTCGCTCCAGTACAAATTTTAGAATCATGATCCAATCTCCTAACCTTTTTACATCCACAATCACATTCTTCCAATAATTAAGTACAATTATACTCACTTTATTTCTCGATTATATCTTCCCAATATTATACCAATCTTAAAACTTGGAGAATCTAATTCCTCAGTCTTTTCACCTACCCATTTAGTTTCTTGTAGGCATGTAAAACTAATTCTCCTGCTAATTATGATATAAACTATTTCCATTGATCCACATTAAATATTTGTATTTATAAAATTATATATTTTGATAGAAACACTAAAATTCAGAATAGTATTATAGAAGATTTTAGAAAAAAATGAGCATGAATGCTCTACAATAACATAGAATTTCCAGAGTTTATACTCCTAACGAGAAAGTCTCTCCTCCATAATATTAATTCTCCAAAGGCATGAATGAATTCCCTTTCCCCCTCCTTTTCCTTATAGCCATGTCACTCATGACACAAGGGCCCTTTTCCTTAACTACTCCCATTTCCCTCCTCTCTTGGTCCCACTCTCTTTCTCCTAGTGTACACATTCCATATTTGGGCCCTAGTGTAAAAATCTGGTGTCCTATCATATTTTTATATATTTTATTATTTATTATAAATGAAACTATATTTTACAACAACAAAATTATACATACACATTGGGCATTAATTATCTCTACATTATTTTCCTTCTTTTGTATCTATCGTTCTAGTTCATTCACACGATCATTACTTGTTTGGGGAAAAATTCAGAAGTCGTGGACGAATCTTCCAACAATATTTCTAATTAACTCTAGTTCTCGCTCCAATGCTCCATCTCCTTTCTAACGTGCTTCTTTCTAACCTCTTCACCTTCGCTATAATTGACTTACAACATCCCACAGCTAGCACATTCCAAATATGCACACAAAGTAACAATAATTTTTTTTACCACAATTATAAGTTGAGTTTTGTTGCATATCATTGATTAAATTTTTGGTTGCATTATTTTCATTTGGATAAGCAATTTCTATAATAGAACAGTTGATCATATTAATTTTAAATTTGTTATTTAAAATAAAAATTAATGCATCAAAAGTTTTAATTTAAATAATAAAAAAAGCCAAACCTGAATGATACACCTCCAACTTGCTTATATTTATCTTCGTATTTCTTTGCTGTAATCTCAACCTAGAGTTAATATATTGAGAAAATAAGGAACGTTAAGTTTATGGAGGTGATAAGAACACATGAAATTCTAGATAAACATACCTCATGCTCATCTGCAGGTATCATTTCTATGATCTTGATAAGATGTTTATCACATTTGTTCTTGTATAGAACCTTTCGCTGGAAAAAAATAAAAAAATGTTCAGAAAAAACGAACATTAATCTTGTCATTATTAATCATAAGCAGTCAAGGGAGAATGCAGTTTTCATATACTTCTCTCTTCTAGTCTCCACAATTTTATCATATAAAGACACGTTCTAGGTATTTGAAGGGTGACCCGGTGCACGAGGCTCCCACCTAAGTGGGATCTTCTGGGAATGGTCGCAAGTGAATAGGCTATTTCTACGATTTGAACCCATGACCTCCAAGTCACAAGGCAAGTAACCTTACCATTACGTTGAGAAAGGCAGACAAAATCTAAATGGGGCATGCCATCTATCAAAGAGAAACTAGGCATAAAACATCACAACAACTGAGTAAAAGACCCTTCCAGATGTCGTCCTCTCAACAAGGCCACTCACCCCCTTTCCCTATCCAGGTGCTTGCACTTCCTAATGTACCAAAAATCAAAAACTAAATCTATGGCACGACAGCAGAAGTGATGCAAGACACAAAGAATAGGTACCTCCGTGCCAGCTTCTATTGCATCTTAAAACTTTGAACTAATTGAACTTTGCTCTTTTAAATACTGCTGATTTATTAGGCGCTTCTCCAAAACTGGAACTCTGGACTGTCTGGAGCTCTGCTGCTTGTTCTGAGATACTTCATCAGACTGAGGGTTGTAGTAAGGTTCAGTTGTTGAGCACCAAAACCAGTCATCACTTGCTGTTATTGAAAATCTTCCAAAGATAAAAGAGGATAATAGAGACACAAAATGTTAGAGCAAACTTTTTCGATAAAGGTTATAAAAAAGGAAGAAAACAACTAAGTCTTGGACACACACCTGATGGATTTCCCCGACCTAGAGCACTGTGGTGAGTGGAAGGTTGACAAACAGTAGGCAGATCAGGCATATTGTTACTTTACTTAGGAGTACTTGTGGACAACATGTCCTTCTTTGAGTCACTCCATTAGGTAGAGTGATACAAAACTCCGAAAGAAAATGTGCTATCATTGTATAAATCCCAGACCTGCTTTAGAACCTCTGCAAAAAAAATAAAACATGGTATATAATTAATGATCAAGGAATTATCAAGCCTCCGAAAAGTTGTACACACAGAAGATGTGAAGACTAGAATGATAGAGCTAATATAACAACAAAAACAATGACAACCAAGTCATTTCTTACTAGGCAAGGTCAATTGCATAGACCAAACAACATCCTATTGTAAATCATGTCCATAGACAAGCCATTTACATTGAAAACCTTCTTATGGTTCTGCCAGTAGTTTGTCTTGGTTACCTTCTACATCTAGTGCTATCCTCTATTTGATGGCTTCTACCGATATGGCTAGACACGCAACAAAAACCAAGCGAATGCAATTAAATGCAGCCTAGATTCTGCAATGCTGGTAACCAATCATAAAATATGATTGCCTATTAAATGTGCAGCTAGAGAACAGGAAAAGAAAAAAAATAAAGAAAGAAAGCACTTCAAGCCTGCTGTTGAAGCAAAAGGATAGAGAAGTAGAAATATAAGAAATATACCTCTCGGTAATCTTCAACTAAGGAAGAAGTTTCGTACTTGTTCCCCAGTGATTTTCACATCTCTATCCGTGTCTATTCCACAAACACTTTTTGTATATTTCTGAATATCATAGTGACTGTAAGTCTATAACAGGTTAGTTTAAAAGGACTGCCTCCACTCCACTGGCATTGGTACTTGCTCCAGTGATAAATAGTGGATTGGGGACAGGGAGGATCACTTTGGATTATTGGATTATGTCTACAAATGTCTGTGACTGCAGAAGAGTCATTCACATAGACAAGCATGCCTATCAGATTTGATGTTACATTGTCTTAATAACAAAGTGTGAGTGCTATATATGCTAGTGTTTGATTGAGGATGCCTGAATGAAAACATGGTGTCATAAATTATTTATAAAAGGGCAGTTATTGAAACTTTCACACCTAACTTTTACAATTGAGGTATTCATTAATGTGTACGATGTCTACCAACAATACGGTTGGTGTACATGTACACAAGAAAATTTCATCTTTGCTTTGCTTTCCTGGATCCATTTCTTTCATGTGTCTACCTTGGTTCAAGGTGAATAGACAAAGTAATAGTAACTAGACTAGAGACTAGAGCAGAAAATAAGTTGATGTGCACTCCAAGGGGCCAAGAATAAAGGAAACTCGCCAAGAATCTAGGAGCTCTTAAGACGACTTGCTATCATAAATCGCGTGCATTTTGCTATCATAACACGGTAAGGTGTTCAAATCCAAATAGAAGGAAAAAAACCTGATTCCAAAAGAACTGAAAATTGATTAAAAATAAACTTTATAACCTCATGTGTTACGAAATTTGCAATAAAATCTCAATTTCTCAATACATGCCAAAACAAATAAATTACATAATGGCAGTTCAATACCACTGCATTCAAAGTCCTTAAAATACTTGAACTTGCAACAAAGAGAGTGAGTTTGGCGCAACGGTAAGATTGTTGCTTAGTGACCATGAGGTCACGGGCTCAAATCCTGGAAACATCATTTCCGCTTGCGGGGGTAAGACTGCGTGCATGTACCTTCACCAGACCTCATGTATTGGACCGCCCTGACTTGAACTTACAACATATTGTGGTAACTGATCAAAATTATATACCCCAAGTTCATATTCTGCCTGCCTAACATAGGGTTGCTATGATTGACTGATGTTAGATTTAATTATCTTACTTAGGTTCAACCACAAAACTCACTTAAAATAAAGGAAACCAAATTCATTCCTCATAAATAATTCAAAACTTGAAGGTTAAAGAGACAATCAATTTTAAGAAGCACACAATGGAAATGGGAGGGGTTGAGAGCAAAGCGCGCATGAACTTATCTAGATATAGAGCAAAGTCTATTGATACAGAGAGGAAAAGGAGCACAACAAATATTTTATTTAATTAAATAAATGATTCTATGCTAGACCTAGAAATCATAAGGATGATAACTGATAGTTAAAATAACAGAATCACATCCTCAGTCAAGTATTATAACAGGCCTTATTTCTTGTATCTCCAATTCACATAGCATTATCCATGGGAAACAGAGCACATGAAATGCTTTACCTCATACAAAAAGTTCGTATGTAAACAATAACCTTTTAAATCTTGGCAAGTGCAACTACAACTAAAATCAGACTATAAACCATTGCATATTAACATTAAAAGTTATCCTGCTTGATCTCAGCAAATATCATGCATTGTTGATAATGAAATAAAACTAAACTGATGAGGGAGATCACTTCTTAGTGCTACTGATAACTCTAGCGCCGAGCCGATCAAGCTGCCTCACTTTCGCGGAAGCCTTCAAGTTTCCATACATGAGAAAAGCCTGAACCATATGTTTCCCAATGAAGTTTCCTTTGGCCTCATCATCGATAAGCGCAACCACGGTAGGACCAGCACCACTAATGGTACAGCCAAAAGCACCAGCCTGAAGAGCAGCCCTCTTGACAGCCTCCATTCCAGGTATCAAAGGCGCACGCTTCGGCTCAACAATCTTATCAGATGACAATGCCTTCCCTAAACACACCACATCCCCTTGCAACACGGACGCAACCAACGCACCCGCCTGGCTACAATTCCACACGTGGTGCTGCATACTAATCTCCGAAGGCAATGCAGCTCTCATCTTCTTTGTTGGTGCTTCAAACTCAGGAGTCACCAACACAAAGAACAAGTCCTTCTCTTCAGGGAACTTGAGCTTCATCAAATTCAACGGCTCATAGCTTTGTATCAACACAAATCCACCCATAATAGCGGGTGCTACATTATCCGCATGATAACCAGAAACCTTCTCTTCCGATTTCAACGAAGCGAGAACGAGTTCCTGAACACCTAACCTATTCCCGAATATCGCATTAACCGCAACCGCAGCCGCAGCAGCGCTAGCAGCACTCGATCCAAGTCCGCTTCCAAGAGGCAAACCCTTGTGAAGCTGGAGAGAGAGACCAACGGAACGAACCGAAAGCATCTTCATGACCTCGATTGCGGCGATTCCAGCGCAATTGAAGATAGGGTTCTTGCTAAGCTTGTTATGGTTATCGCCGGAGATGTGTGAAATGGAAATCTGACCGGGGTGGACATTGGGATCAACGGAGAGGGACACGGTGTCGCCGATGCCATCGACGGCACAGCCGAGGAAGTCGAAGCCGGGACCGAGATTAGCGACGGTGGCGGGAGCGAAGGCTTGAACGGAATTGAAGATGGGTTGGGGTTCTGAAGAAGAGAGATTGGTGCATTTGATGGTGAAATTGGAGCGTGACGGTGGAATGGTGGTGGTGGTGTTAGTGAAGGTATTAGGTTTAAAAATGAATGGATGTGGAAAGAGGAAGTGAAAGCATAATGCCATGTTTTGTGGTAGGAATGGTACTCTCTATCTCTCTCAATAAAGCCTACTCAGTACTCACCCACTAGTGCAGTTCGTAGTATGGAAATGAAGAGAATGAAAAGTTTGAGTTATTATTTACTAATAAAACTATGATAAAATGGAGAATATCTTCAATCTCACAAAGTATGTCTTTCATCAGAAAATTACTTAATCATTAAACTTTTAATTTAAATATATTTTTTCAACCAATTATTACATAAGATGACACGTGGAATAAGATACTATGTGGAAGAGAATATGTGCTCCACATTTCATTGTTCAATTCTTTCTTTCTAAGGGTGAGCGTGAACCGAGTTGGGATGAATTAAAGCTTATTCTTATCTGACCCTAAATGTTGGACGAATCATTTTCTTGAAGATCCGAAGTTAAGTCGATCCAAAATATTCACAGAGTCAGCCTTTAAACCCGTACCCAATTAAATATAATGTATACTCATTTTAGATAAAATCTTCTAAATATTATTTATTATTGTGAATATTTAATTTGACATATAAAATAATATATGTATTAAACATTTATATATAATGAAAAAAATTAGAAAATCAATGATATTTTCGACAAAAAAATGTCTAATTACTTTGTACGCATTTGAATAAATACATTTACAAATATCAAAAGTAAGTGACCATAGAACGAGTCGTGACGAGTCATACTTGTTCCATACCCGACCCTAACAGTGTCTAATTTTTGAAACCGAACCTCATTATAAACCCGATGAGACCCAATCCTATTTAGATCTGATCATGATCGGGCCATACCAGGTGAGTGGGTAGAGTCATATCCATCTCATTCATACTTCTCTTATCTAGAGCATTTTGTCTTATAAAATGTATCATTCCATGTACCGTCACTTTCTAGAAAAACAATTAATCATTATACTTTTAATTTAAATATATTTTTCCAATAAGAAATGAAACATAGTGTAATACACTTTCCACTCTCATCCACGTGTCCAATGTGAAACATGCAAAGGATTCCATTTTCCCTCCAATTCCACCACTTATATAAATCCTGAACAAAACCCCGCGAGGGAGCGTCAACAAACCCTTCTCAACAAGCGCAATGGACATTGAACAAGATCAACACCATTCCTCAACTGACCCACCCAAAATCAACCGCCTCAGCGACTCCGTCGTCAACCGAATCGCCGCCGGCGAGGTCATCCAGCGTCCCGTCTCCGCCGTCAAGGAGCTAATCGAGAACAGTCTCGACGCCGCCTCCACCTCTATCAACCTCCTCCTCAAGGACGGCGGCCTCAAACTCATTCAAGTCTCCGACGATGGCCACGGAATACGAGTCAGTTATTCTTTCCAATTGCTGTCGTTTTTACTCAATTTGACTTATTACCTTTGCGTTTTGACTTTTGATCATTCCTTTTTTCTTCTCTCCTTTTCAAGTATGAGGACCTTCCTATACTTTGCGAGAGGCATACGACATCGAAATTGTCGTCGTTTGAGGACTTAATGAGCATCAAGTCGATGGGGTTTAGGGGAGAAGCTCTGGCCAGCATGACGTATGTGAGTCATGTTACTGTCACTACCATTACCAATGGCCAGTTGCATGGTTATAGGTAATTTCTTGTTACTATTTTTCGGTTTTATTCGATTTTGTTTTTCTATTAAGATAGATATGAATGAGAGAAGTATGAAACGTTTTCACATTATGTGTCTTGACTTGGTTAATTCGGATGAGCCGTGGGTAAGGTTGCCTTTTAGTGACTAAGAGGTTCCGAGTTCAGATAATGGTAACAGTCTCTATGCTTGCGAGAGTAATGTTGTGTAGATATACACTCCCAATACCCCATTAGGTGGAAGCCTCGTGCACTGGACCATCTTTTTTTGGGTTAATTGGTATGAATTTCTTTACTACCTTAATTAATTAAGGTTAAGTTTACTTGGTTTTACTTAAGGTTTAGTTTACTCGGTTGCTCTCTAATCTTTTTGTGGAAATACTAAAAAATTTCCTAATTTGGTCCAATGTTTTAAATTCCGTCCATGGTTGCAATTACGTTGCATTCATCAAAATTGCAAAATATTGTGGGAAAATGCGGCTGTGATGTAGTTTTGGAGACTACCAAAACTTTAACACTGCAGCTTTTGTTGTGGTATCGACGTTAGATTTAAAACCTTGGTGGGTCTCAAACCTTGTGAATTTTTTTAAGCGAGTTCGTTATACACATATAGGTTTCGTTAAGTTTATGAATTTTCCCAAAATGTATTAGACTGCAGGGATTTATTTGAATTTCCCATGAAGTTCAGGGACCACTAAAGCAAGAGTGGATGGATCACTTATGAGAAACCTGACTGAAACATAATCAAAACCTAATGGAAATGTGTATGAAGGACTTGATTACAAATTTTAATAAGTTTAGGGATTCAAATTAAAGCTTTTTTAGTATTGGGTCCTATTTGATTTTGCCTAAAGAATCTGGGGACCAATAAAGTAATTAAACCTTTTTATTAACATGGATATGAATAAATAAGAGAAATATGATTTTTTTACCATTTGTGGCTTGTTTAATACTGTTTAATTATGTGATTTAGGTGAAAAGGATTAAAGGAGAAATCTCTCCATATGATATGTAATGCCAATGTTCAACACAGTTAAACATTTCTGATTGTATGATTCAGGGTATCCTATAGAGATGGTGCCATGGAGCATGAACCGAGGGCTTGTGCTGCTGTAAAAGGAACACAGATAATGGTATCATCTAGTCTTTTGGCTGTACTAAGACTTCCTTTGTCATTTTTCTTGAACATTTGAATGTATTTTATGTAAATACCATTC